ATGACGTCTGTTGGTTTTCCCCTGTCCACTGATGCTGTCACACCATCATAGAAAGCCACTAGGTTCATCAGGCAGGACTTGCCCTTGGTGAAGCCATGCTGGCTATCTTGAATTACCTCCCTGGCCTCCATGTGGCTTAGCATAGCTTCTAGGAGGATCTGTTCCATGATCTTCCCGGGCACAGAGGTGAGGCTGACAGGTCGGTAGTTCTCGGGGTCTTCCTTTCTACCCTTTTTGAAAATGGGTACAATGTTTCCCTTCTTCCAGTCACCAGGGACTTCACCTGACTGCCATGACTTTTCAAATATCATGGAGAGGGGCTTGGCAACTACATCGGCCAATTCCCTCAGGACTCTGGGATGCATCTCTACAGGTCCCACGGACTTATGTGCATTCAGGTTCCTCAGGAGGTCACAAACCCGATCTTCTCCTAGCGCCCAGGGAAGACTGAGGCAAAAAAGTCAACATTGGAATAATCTCCACAGGGGAGTGGTTGACTCCGCCACATTGGACACTTTGAAGACTCAGCTGGACAGGGCACTGGGCCATCTTGTCTAGGCTGTGCTCTTGCCTACCAAGGTTGGACCAGATGATCCTTGAGGTCCCTTCCAACCTAGGATTCTATGAAAAATTAATCCTGTTACAAATCTCTTTACTCCTTGTATCCTTTATAACAACCCCAACACATGCTATCCTATCCCAGGAAATCTCCATACAGACTCCAGGCTCTATTGCAGCTGGTCTGGATGGAGGCTGGATCAAGAATGGAGCTCCCAAATCTTGGTCTGCCTTCAGGGGAGGGACGGCCCACAAAAAAAACCAACAAACAAACAAACAAAAAAACCCCCACCAAACACACAAAAAAGCTCAGTCTGCGTTACAAGGTGGATCTACTAGTGTGGAAGGAGGCCCCAACTCCTGTGTATCTCCACTCCCCTGGAGAATGTAACTGTGGCAGCCAGAGGGTCTCGCTGATTTGTTTTACGGCCATCAGCGTTTCATGAGGTACTCGCTGCTTGACTGAGAGGGAGCCACAGGCCCTGAGGTACCAGACAAGGCAGTCAAAGCCCTAACTCTCCCTTGGTTTTTTCTCCAACCTCCCTTCCGTTCTTGTTCCGCCTGGAAGCGGTGCATGAGGTGGCACGGACATCGGGGTGGTGCTCAAGCAGCAGCGGGAGGCCGCACCTTGGGCAGGGCCAACGGCCACAAAATGGTGGCGGCCCAAGAGACAACAGGGGCTGTGGTTCCCGCCCCTGAGGAGCGAGGAACCAGGGGTGGAGAGGTCGGTCAGGACCCCCTGGAGCGGAGGGTTTCCATTTACAGCTTGGCGGGACGCCAGAAATCAGATTTCTGTCTCCGGTTTGCTCCTCCGCTGAAGGGACCTGCGGGAGAGAAGCAGCCCACCTCCACCGTTCAGCAGCACGTCAGCATCCAGCCGACCCGCGGCGGCAGGAGAATAGCGGCCCTTGTTCCCAGTGCCAGTCACCTCAACTTCATCAGAGTAAATAACCTGCATCCCAAACCGATAAGGTTAACGGGCTGGGTATGGCCGCTCACAGACAGTCACGTCACCGGCGCTGCGCCCCGGGGAGTGCGGAACTACCGTGCTCTGCCGGTGGGCAAACACCGGCTGCCGAAGCGCCAAGCTGGAGTTCGGCAACTTGAAGCTATTTCAACAGGTTCAGGGTGCAGCTACTCCCCTGTACACGGGCATGGAAATTTACCAAAGCCAGCCTCGGCTGTTAGCCTTACTTGACTGTATTGGTATTTGTTACTTCCATTAAATCATACAGTTGTTTTTAAGTCTGGTTACTGCTGAATTCTAGGAAAACGATGGAGTTCTGGTTGCCAGTTGTGGGTGGAAGGGTCACCCCGTTGGTGACACTCATGGAGTTCAAGGCTGTCCAAGTAGCCATTGCTTCTCTGTTGGCCTTGTACAAGGGCAAGAAGGAGAAACCAAGATCGCAAGTTCCTTTTGTGCGAGCAAGAGTGCTAAGAAACATTTTAATTCGACCATTTTTGTGCGCCTCTATGTGCCATAACCAATGGTTTGTGTGTGTGTCTATGGAACATCTGCATGTTATTAACACTAGGTGGCATGTCTGAGTCAACGTTTTTGCCACGGATGACGCTCACTAAACCTCAGTACTTCTCTTCAGTTTTGGATCAAACAATACTGATTTTGAAGAACTTGGCAAAATGAAGAAAACCTCTCGTAACAGAAGCGTCCCAAAGTCCTTTTCTGAAGCTTAAGAAGCAACAGCAACAGCGGCATCATCTCAAATCATCTTCACTAGATCTTAACGGCTTTGTGAATATTTGTGCACCAAATGCCAGTTTCAGAATATTCATTTTATTCATCGTTTTCCTTCCTAGTCAGCTTTCAAGTATTCCTAATATTCTTAAGACTGTAAAGCAAAGCTGTCGCATTTTTACAAGACTGCAACTTCCCCATTTTTAAAATTACCAAATGATCGCATTCTCCACACTGGCACTGCACCTTCTGAAGATTCGCTTTTTAGAACAGTAATTCGTTTGCTCCTGAAACTGTTGCTGGGGTTTCTGGTTTTTGTTTGTTGGCTTTTTTAAATTATTTTTTCGGTTATTTATCCAGATGGAATGTAAAAACAGCCCGGCATAAACAAAGTATGTATTTTCTATTTAAGCTGTGAACACAGGTTATACTAATAAAGACACATTTAGGTCTAATTACTGCCCCTTCGCAGCAATCACGAAAAGGGAAGTGAGCGCTGATGACTTTTTTTGGTTTGGGGCCCGGATTGCCCGAGCCTGGCAGCCTGGGCTAGCAGCAGGTTTCAAGGTTAACACACGCTGGCTCCTGTTTCAGGGCTTGGCCCTGCTGCGGATCCACTGGAGGCCGGGGGCGAAGTCAGGCGCTGGAAGCCGG